CATCCATCTCTTTGTCTGTCCATCCATCCATCTCTTTGTCTGTCCATCCATCCATCTCTTTGTCCGTCATCCATCCATCTCTTTGTCTGTCCATCCATCCATCTCTTTGTCGTCCATCCATCTCTTTGTCGTCCATCCATCCATCTCTTTGTCCGTCCATCCATCTCTTTGTCTGTCCATCCATCTCGTTCTTCTGTCCATCCATCCATCTCTTTGTCGTCCATCCATCCATCTCTTTGTCCGTCCGTCCATCCATCTCTTTGTCTGTCCATCCATCTCTTTTTGTCCGTCCGTCCATCTCTTTGTCTGTCCATCCATCTCTTTGTCTGTCCATCCATCTCTTTGTCTGTCCGTCCATCTCTTTGTCTGTCCATCCATCTCTTTGTCCGTCCGTCCATCCATCTCTTTGTCCGTCCATCCATCTCTTTGTCTGTCCATCCATCCATCTCTTTGTCCGTCCATCCATCTCTTTGTCCGTCCATCCATCTCTTTGTCCGTCCATCCATCCATCTCTTTGTCTGTCCATCCATCCATCTCTTTGTCCGTCCATCCATCTCTTTGTCCGTCCATCCATCTCTTTGTCCGTCCATCCATCCATCTCTTTGTCTGTCCATCCATCTCTTTGTCTGTCCGTCCATCCATCTCTTTGTCTGTCCATCCATCCATCTCTTTTGTCTGTCCATCCATCCATCTCTTTGTCTGTCCATCCATCTCTTTGTCCGTCCATCCATCTCTTTGTCCATCCATCCATCTCTTTGTCTGTCCATCCATCTCTTTGTCCGTCCATCCATCCATCTCTTTGTCCGTCCATCCATCTCTTTGTCTGTCCATCCATCTCTCTTTGTCCGTCCATCCATCCATCTCTTTGTCTGTCCATCCATCCATCTCTTTGTCGTCCATCCATCTCTTTGTCTGTCCGTCCATCCATCTCTTTGTCTGTCCATCCATCCATCTCTTTGTCTGTCCATCCATCTCTTTGTCTGTCGTCCATCCATCTCTTTGTCTGTCCATCCATCTCTTTGTCCGTCCATCCATCCATCTCTTTGTCCGTCCATCCATCTCTTTGTCTGTCCATCCATCCATCTCTTTGTCCGTCCATCCATCTCTTTGTCGTCCATCCATCTCTTTGTCCGTCCATCCATCTCTCTTTGTCTGTCCATCCATCCATCTCTTTGTCCGTCCATCCATCTCTTTGTCCGTCCATCCATCCATCTCTTTGTCTGTCCATCCATCTCTTTGTCCGTCATCCATCTCTTTGTCTGTCCATCCATCTCTTTGTCCGTTCATCCATCTCTTTGTCTGTCCATCCATCCATCTCTTTGTCTCCATCCATCCATCTCTTTGTCCGTCCATCCATCCATCTCTTTGTCTGTCCATCCATCTCTTTGTCCGTCATCCATCTCTTTGTCCGTCCATCCATCTCTTTGTCCGTCCATCCATCTCTTTTGTCTGTCCATCCATCTCTTTGTCCGTATCCATCTCTTTGTCCGTCCATCCATCCATCTCTTTGTCCGTCCATCCATCTCTTTGTCTGTCCATCCATCTCTTTGTCCGTCCATCCATCCCATCTCTTTGTCTGTCCATCCATCTCTTTGTCTGTCCATCCACTCTTTGTCCGTTCATCCATCTCTTTGTCTGTCCATCCATCTCTTTGTCTGTCCATCCATCTCTTTGTCGTCCATCCATCCATCTCTTTGTCGTCCATCCATCTCTTTGCTGTCCATCCATCTCTTTGTCCGTTCAAAGATTTTGAAAACGAGAGAGACCCCACACATGACAACAATCATGATTAACGGTTCAGATCTCATAGTGTGGCCTGCAAGAGACGATCAACTCGGCACACTTCAGAGCAGATCAGGGGAGGTTAAAGTCACTCTTAACACGCCTAACACCACGGGAGAATCTGACAAGATCATCTTTTGGAACATCAGATAATCAAGCCTTTGCTGACTTCGGTCTGAAGGGGGAATCAGACCCCAAATCATCCCGATTATCTTGTAGTGTAGACCCCGCTTAAGCCTCTGTACATGGGGCGTGCACACTAACCGCTAGTCTCCCAACGCCCTGTAGCAGACACTTGAAGCACTTTAACTCTGAAGCTCACTTTATCCTGTGTTGTGTTAAACAACATCACACAGCTTCTTTTAATGCTCGTTTAATGTGTCTCTGTCAGCCAATGAACAGTTCAGATTGTTCGCTGGTCGTTGTGGTTTTATGTAAATGTGTATCCGTGTGAACTGCTGAGGGAATACCGATGAAAATGAGCTTAAAGCTAAATCTGTCATATTTACTGTTGTAAATGGCTGTTTGTCCGTCCGTCTTTTATTGTGTTAAAACAAACAAAAATTAAATCTATGTTTATGTCATAGATGTTACTGAGCGACAGAGATGGAGAAACACCCAGGGTGTGTGCGTGCGGTGTGGTGTGTGTGTGTGTGTGTGTGTATGTGTGTGTGTGTGTGTGTGTGTGTGTGTGTGAGGGGGGGGGGGTTCAGTGTTAGCAGGTTGTTCCCGGTTCTCACAGCCGAGGTGTGAAGTGACGCCTCCAGACTCATCAGTTCTCATCAGTGTGAAACCATCACACCTTCGTCTTTAACTGGATAATGCAGCTCATTAAGCTTCATTAAAAACTATTTACACTCACCACATTTACATTTCAGCGTGTTGCACAGAGAGGTTCCTGCAGCATCTTCAGGATCAAGATAAGAGAAATGGAGGGGTCGTAAAGTCACAGGTCGAGACACGCTCAGACTGTAAAATGATCATGGTGGGAAGAAGAAGAGCAGGGGATGTAAAGTGGAGGTGCTGGAGGGAACACACACGTCAGGTTCAAGGTTGAAGTGAGGTGACGAGTAAAGAAAGAGACTCCCAGCCAGGACACAGGATCTAATGATGAGACACACTTATTACTGCAGCGAGGCAGAGACTCACACATACAGACAAATTAAAATCTGAGTACCAGCCACTCACATTAAGGCAATCTGTACCATGACTAAGCCTGCTTCACCCTCAAAGTCCAGTTTGTTTGACTGGTGGTGGGAGTGATCCAATCAATGCTCGAGCTCGGTACACTTCATGCACGAGCACAAACACGGGTACACAACGTGGACAGACTCCATTATGGAGAAATCCTGAAGTTTTCTGTATCTGACTAAACATGACTCAGAATAAGACACAAAGTCAGTAAAGACGCTGACCCGACCTATAGCGTCCTTTTATTCTTTTACTTTTTGAGTCCTCCTGTCTTCTTAAGCACTTTAAAATAACCACAGTTAAACCAAAGTGCTGTACAGAAGAATACATAAAATACATAACAGCTCACATGAGATAAAAAGAAAACTACATGTGAAATACAGAATCAAGTTAAAAGACAGTAAAATGAATAGGCACGCAAAAAAAGAAATCAAATAAATAAATAAGTGGACGTCTTTACTGTGTGTCAAAGGGAAGAGAGATGAGTCAGCTCGCTTCATGATCATGTAAAGACATGTATGTGCTCAGACCCGGTTTGTCCTGGACTGCTTTCTGTTGAGGAGCCGCTCAGCACTGGAGGCAGAATGGAGACGAGCTGTTTGTTGGTCCGATATGATCAAGAATCAGGAAACTCTCAAAGAAGACATTTCCTGCAGAAAACCTGTTCAGGGGACGGTGCACTACATGGTCTTTATTTGTGTTCTGGTCAGACCGGTGGCTCCTCTCTCTCTCTCTCTCTTTGATTTCTGACTCTCTCCACCGTCCTCAGTAAATATTGAACGATATCAGAACTAATGCAAAACTTCACTATAAAACAACTAAGAGTGTTAGACTGTGGAACAACTGTGATGACGAGCTGAAAAAATGTAACACTATATTAAACTAAAAAAACTCTTCAGGAATCAAATATTGAATAGATATGAGCTGGATCAGTGACTTCCTGTTTTTCTGTTTGGTTATTTCTTGGTGTTCTTGGTTAATCTGTTCCCATTATTTGTGTTATTTGTCTAAAAACTTAATTTGTTTTGGCCAACAAGTCCAACATCATTCACTGATTGATGAAAACATTTTGATTCTTCTGTGAATAAAGCACAAAAATAAGAAGGGGTAGGACCAGGAAAGTTTTAAACTTCTTCCTATCCCTTTTGAACATGAACTATATTATTTCAGTTATTTATTTGTTGCTATGGACCCTGGGGATCCAGTTTGTTTGGTTTTTGTTTAGTTTTTATTTTGTGTTTGTATTTTCTTAACATGTTCAATAAATTGACTAATAAAAAAATAAAAAAAAAACCTTTGATTTGTTTGCATTGTTTTTTTTAGTTCTATTTTCCTTTTTTTTACTCATAAATCTTTCTCTTCCTACGTTTATAACTTATTGTGGATGAATTGAAGTTGTGTTTTAAATATTATTGTTGGTTTGTGTCACAGGATCAAGATGAGTTTCTGTGTCTACATGTTGATAATCATCCTGCTGTGATTAATAAAAGCTCAACGGAGTGAACATGGTGTGATGTATTAGTGTGAGGGTTTTCACTTTCCATTCATGTCTCATTTCTTTCGGCTGTGTCTCTTTGGCCGTCGTGTTGTAAAAGTGAATGCGGGAGAAATGGTCTCTGCGACATGTGCAGAACACATCGGAGATTCTGAAGGGAAAGAAGAAAAAACAGAAGCCAAAAAACAGTTTATTGTTTTGAGCAGGAGTCAAAAGTCACACTTCCACTCCTGCAGCTGAACTTTTCCCAGACACAGAGGAGAGGGAGAGGTACGGAGACAGGGTCCCAGAGAGAGAGAGAGTGTGTGTGTGTGTGTGTGTGTGTGTGTGTGTGTGTGTGTGTGTGTGTGTGTGTGTGTGTGTGTTCAGGGCCTCTGCTGTAGACACTGATGGTTTGTGAGAATCTGCAGAGGTGTCACTTCACACCTCTGCGGCCCTGCCCTGGACTTATAAAGCCGAGCAGCAGCAGAGCAGCACTCACAGTCCTCCCAGTCCTCCCAGTCCACCACTGAGACCATCCTCTCCTCACAACATGGATACCTCCTCGATCCAGCTCCTCGACTACTCCCTGCAGTATCAGTGGTGCTCCGACTCGGACCTCTCCAGCATCTCCTCTCCGGACACTCTCTCCCCCGTCACCTCCATGGACTCCAGCCTGTCCCCGTCCTACCAGCAGCTGCCTCAGTCCACCACCAGGGCGGCCAAGACCGGATACTCCCAGAGCCTCAAATCCTCCCAGTGCTCGTTGTCCAGAAGGGGCCGGAAGTCGGGTCGAGCACCCCGGATCCGGAGCAAGCAGAGGGAGAGCGCCAGCGAGAAGGAGAAGCTGCGGATGAGAGATCTGACCAAAGCTATGCACCACCTCAGATCCTACCTCCCGCCCTCTGTGGCGCCCGCGGGTCAGACCCTGACAAAGATTGAGACCCTCCGCCTCACCATCCGTTACATCTCCTACCTGTCGGCGCAGCTGGGGCTCAGCGAGGAGGTTCTGTTTCAGAGGCGGGAGCACGGGGACACGTCAGCCAGCGACGCCTCCTCGCCCGACATCCTCAGCTACTTCCAGCACGCCGCCTCCATGGAGGGACACGAGACCCAGAGCCTGAACCTGCAGGACCAGAGCCTGAACCAGGGCCTGTACCCAGAGCAGCGTCAGGACGCCCTACTGCACTCTGGGAGTTGTGGTTTTGGAGGTGATCATTACTTCGAGGCTCCTCAGAGGGACTTGTTCCTGCAGACGCCGCCGCAAACTCAGCCGTGCTGTCAGGTACGAGAGCGTTTACTTTCACATTATTTAAAGAGAAATTACCCATCATGCATCATTTATTTATTTATTTAAATTTTATTTAGAATCACACATTCACAGACATTTGTACATATTGTTCATTTGTGGTTTGACAGAGTCATTCCTCTTTTCACATTTTTGTAAATTTATACAAAACAAAATAAATCAAATAAAAAGACAGGTTGTAAGAGATGCTTCATTTTTAAATCAAAGTGCAACATGCTAATCAAACTTTATCTTTTTTTTTTACAGATGAGTGGCAAAGACTTCTGCCTCCCGCTGGTTCCCAGAGAGTACTGGGGTTAAAACGCTCCGACGGCGAGCCCGCCATCGTCCAACAACGACACAAACTACTCTCACTTGTTACTGCCTCACTGTGAAAACACGTTATTATTATTTATTCTTAAAATGTATATGATGCTTTTTCTACATGTTTTATTTATTTTTCCATGTAAATATTCATATTTTTATATGTCTTTGAACCACTATTTATAATAAAATATTTAAAAAATGTCCTCGCTTTTCTCTGCGTCTGTTCCCATGATGCACTGCAGTTTCTCCCACTGTTAAAAAATCAGGAAGCTGCCGGTTCATGTTTGTTTTGATATATATGCACAGTGTTCAGTGGACACCCTGTGTTACTCCAGTGTGCCTTTAAGAAGAAATGCAGAATGAAGCAGAAAAATGGCACAGCAGCCTCTGCTGGTCATAGAGGTGAACTGACACCCTCAGAGGTTTGTCATGCTGTAGCTTTTATAGATCATTAAAATCACACTTTTTTTGCTCAAATTCAAAGAATACAATCTTAGATGTTTGTATAACATAATTAATATGATTAAATACAATTAATAAATGAAGGAGCATAAAAATGTTATTTCTGTCTGAAAGTGTCTGAAAACATCATAACGAAGTCATTTTTTTTTATTAGATTTGTCCGGCTCAGAGTGTTAAAGCTTCATGTCAGCGTCAGATAAACTTTACATATAAATATGAAGACTGACTTTTTGTCCAGCATCACTTCAGCTGTTTTCACATCTGCACTCCTGAAAATATCTCGAGAATATCAGGAGGACTGCTCCTGAAATCCTCCTGATCTGTTGTTCACACATGCACCTCACAGCTGGAGAATATCCCTGTGGGACAGGAGGGGGGGGGGGGGGGGGCTGAAACAGCAGAGTCCTCTACACGACGCTATAATGAGAATATGTGTGTTTGTATCAACGCTCCGTGTAGTTGAAGAGAATCTCAAAGTGAAGTAAAGAGAGGAGAAGAACATCCTGGAGAACAGGAAACATGCAGCAGCAGGTTGATTAGAGCACGGAGATGGTAGAGGTGGCGTGCAGACAGTCTATGGTCGTTCAGCGATCACAGGAATAAAGGTCACCACCCCTCCCACTGGCCCCTCCCACTGGCTCCTCCACTGGCTCCAGGTGAATTCTCCTGATTATATCCTGCTGCGTTCTCACATCAGCTCACTCTGACTTTCTGCAGAATAAACACGAGGAGGCTGGAGGAGAAACTCCGGACTGAAAATATCAGGAGTGTTTGAGGTGTGAAAGTCTATACATGGTAATTTTAGTCAGGAACACTCTGCTCATAATTTTAATGATTTTATTGCAAAAAGATAGATCAGTGAGACAGAAGTGTGTGTTTAAATGGATCGAGCTGTGATTGGTGTGTGTTTGATCAGAAGCAATGATTCGATCAGCTGGCTGTCAGCTGATCACAGCTGGAGCGTATGACTGCTGTGTCCTGCATGAACTAACAACAAGGAGGAGGAATCATTACAGCAACCAAATCATGTGTCATCTGGTTATATGGGAACATGAATATTGTTGAAACCCTCTGAAACTCTCCTTCCAGTTGATTCAAGATTCAAGATTTGTATTTGTCACATGCTCATACAGATGTGCAGTGAAATGTAAAGAGAGGCCATGCAATAAACACTCAAATGACTAATACACATAAATACAGTAATATAGAAATATAACGTAAAATTACAAAAAGGTTGATGCAGCTCCACTGGAGTCTACACACGTCTAACCTTTATATTTTCCTCCTCTATTTAAAGCATTCTGTCGTGTGTAATTATCCAACACGATGTGTCAGGATGTCAGGAGTTAAACATCCACAGTGAGGAGTCACAGAGACTCGAGCCTCTGCAGAAACATGACGGTAACTTCCTCTCTCTCTCCCTCCTGTGATCAGCCTCTGCCACAGGTTATCTACCTATTTAGAGTATCTTTGTTAATGAGACTCTGCAAACACACGGAGGTCTTTGGCACCGCTAAGTCTAGACTTAGATATAAGACCCCCCCTTTGATCCCCCCCTCTCTCTCTATCACCTACAGCTCTAATTACCTGCCTGAGAGGCCTTTAATATTCATAGATCGAGAGGAGGTCGGAGGATTAGGCCTCAGTTGTTTGGTTTGTCACATACATGCAGCTCATTTGATATGCGAGCAGCAGAGGTCGACACATAAAGCCTAATATACTCAATCCCACCTTTCATCACAGAGGAGCTAATAAAGCCTCGGAGCTTGAGATGAAAGGGTTAACACGGCCGTGCTGATTGGCCTCTCATTACATGTGAGTAAACACAGTCAGAGATAATGTGGATTAGGAGAAGACAGGTCCTCTCCATCATCAGGCTCTGACAGCTGGAAGCTGCAGATCATCATCAAATCAAAGTCAGCAGCAGCTTTCTGACGGGTCAGCGCTCTGCTTGACAACGGGAGGATTCACAAAACACTGAAAGACAACATTTAACCTGAGATAGAAACTTACAAGTTGGGTCTGAATCCGACCTGTGGCTCCGCCCCTATATACCCAATACCCAAAAAATAAACCTTTAAACTTTTTTGGAAACAAGAGACTGGAAAATGTTTGAATCGCTGAAAAAACTAAACGTTGGTTAAAATCTTTCAGGTAATAAGGTAAACTGAAGTGAACAGGTTAATATGTGATTGAGGTTGTGGCGTTGGTAGCCTAGTGGTTAGTGTGCACGCCTCATGGATGGCAGTTGAAGTCCTCCAAGCCGGCAACCTGGGTTAGAATCCGACCTGTTGCTCTTTTAATGTAAGTCATTCCCTGAATGAAGTTCTGATGTCTGACTCTATCCAGCGTCCTGTCTCTACAATAAAAGCCCAAAAATAATCCTGCAGAAAAAGAGAGAATAAAAGATGGAGGAGATGGGAGGGGCTTTCTTAACTCAGGGCTGAACTCGCCCATCTGCAGTCCCAACTTGTCCTCCATTAAAACAGAAAATATTCTACTTTCAAAATGGCTGAGAGATCGGTAAAGTCGACCCCGTCACAACTGGACTGTCATTGTCATTTTAGTTACTTTGGCCAACTCAAGTCAGCTGACCTCAGGATTCTGATTCATGGAGGATCTGTGGGGCGACTGTCCCTCCTAAGAGGTCACATGACACATATACCTGTAGCATTATCCCAGGTGGAGAGAAAAGAGCAGCGTGATGTGGCCGTCTCATTCCAAACAGGAAAAGCACAAATAACTTTGCAGAGCAAAAAACAAAAAACCTGGAAGAAAATTTGTAAATATGTACAGAAGAGGAGTAGGGCCACTGAAAAACAAAATGTGGTTCAGATTTTTTTTATTTATCTCTGACTTTATTGTCTGACTTTTCATATTCTATAAAAACATTCGTCTGACATCACTGCAGCGTTCATGTTCTGATGGACCAGGTTGTCCTGAAAAGTGAAATGTAGAATGACAGTTTGGAGTCTTGATTCTGATAAATCACCTTCCATTGAAACGGGCAGCTGAAGGTGTCACACTGAACCACAAAACGAAGAACACTAAATCCTCAAGGGGAGTGAAGACTGGGAAAAGTTACCCCACAGGAAGAGAGAAGAAAGGTTTAAATGTCCTTTCAGAAAGAGTTAAACATGGAGGCATCAGAGACGTGCTTCGTGGTTGTTTCCCAGTGACGCTGTGTGATGTGGTGTGGTGTGGGTGGTCAGAGGTCACCGGGGGAACTTCTCCTGGAGTCAGCTGTCAGGTCGGGCGTCACCTCACACACTTCACTCCTGAACACAAATACAAAAAAACACAGAGAAATAACCTTCAAGAGTCTGAAAGTCCTGAGATTCCCGTCCTCTCTCTCTGGATGTTTTTCTTCTGTGTGTGTGTGTGTGTGTGTGTGTGTGTGTGTGTGTGTGTGTGTGTGTGTGTGTGTGTGTGTGTGTGTGTGTGTGTGTGTGTGTGTGTGTGTGTGTGAGAGCGCT